TCTTACTTAGGAGTACAGGGCTTGTTTTTCACAGTGATATGGTGGGCAGATTTCATTTACATTTTGACAAATTTAGATAGCATGTTACTGGAGAGGTTCTGATAATCGTCTGGAGGAATCTGTTCTCTCTTAGGAGATATGCCAATGTAAGATTATCATGAAGCCTTATCTGCCATGTCATTTAGGACAGATATGGCTTCATGAACTGTGAACAAGTTACTAAGAGTTTATGAACAGTGGGGCAGATCTCAGCCTTTTCCAGTGGCCTGAGGGCTTATCCAGGATCTCTGGTGGATTTGCAGCTCATGGTATAAAGGCAGTATTCCTTTGACTATGCTTCTGATATATTTGATGTGTTCTCTCTAACATTAGGCATGTCTACACCAGCTGGAGTGTGAGCTACAGGTGCTGGCTTGCAGATAAAATGTAGAGTTTATTTTCACAAAAAAATCATAGAGGGCACTCTGTCTCCAAAACTATGTGTTTAAATTAGGCAAATTTATCTGTCTGCATCTATTATGCATGAAAATATAGGTACAAACTCCTGTCTCAAGAAATTCTTATGCTGCACATAGGAAGCAGAAAGAATATTGGAAGAAAATTACCACTGTAGGCGTCTCATTTCTTTCCTAAGCATCTGCTATCAGGAAACCTCAGAGACAGGATACTGAGCTAGATGGATATATCAGCCTGACCCAGCAGGGCTCATTCTTATGTTGTATTTATTTATCTAAGTAGGATGGGGAGGGAACTATTAGCTCATTTTCACTTTGAATAAGTTCCTTTGATTTTGCATGGGGGATAACTACCACATTACCACAGAGGAAGGTACCTTGCCCGGAAGATGAAGGTTGTGAATTAACACACTGTCACCCTGCTCAGGAGGCCCAGGAGGCAAACACTGGATCCTCTAGCTCTTGAGCAGCACTGGCAAAACTATTCTCTAAACTTTGTAGGTTGAAAACTGGCATATTTGAGAATGACTAGAGCCGTTTTGTCTTAGTTGTTAGAGAGAGAGCAGTGCAAGAATCTGACAATCATAGAGAAAGCTCGTCTATTAGTCTGACAGCTTATGGTTGATCTGACACTTTACAGATGCATACTGTGTGACAGCTGCAATGAATCAGGTTATTAGAGGGACTTTCTGCTTCCTAAAGTTTATTTATTCCTGTCCTTCTCAAAATGGGGGGTGGGAAAGTGTAAAGCCTGTCAATGAGATAGAGGAGAGGGCCTGAAGCCAGACAAACCAAAACATCTAGAAATTCTGCTAATGCTACGAAGATGAAAGGAATCCCCAAATAAAAAGGAGCCAGAGACATATTTAGCAGAGCCTCATTCCTAAGCAGCCAATTGGATGTAGGCAGGAAGGTCTCCACACACATCTCAGAAGATGTTTTCCCTTATAAAGTAATGGCTTTTAATGTTATGAGTGAAGGGGTTACTTTATTCCCAGTTTTCTATAGCAGTTGGATAACACTGCAGCTTCTGCTCTCCTTTACCAAAAAAGTATGGCATCTATAAACTGGTGTGTAGCCTCTGAGCTGGCAGTCTTCAGGTCAGCAGAAGCCCATTTCCTAGGTGTGGAGGCTACACAACTCCTGCTGCTGTGGAGTCCCAAGCATGTTTTGTGCCCATACGACAATCTGCACAAGTTACTGAAAATCAAAGAGCTTAAGGAACATGTAGCTAACAGTTTCCACTGATCTTGAAAGATGCTTGAAGTCAATAGGGAAGTTCCCAATATGCATGGGAGTTTTGCTAGCATCGCGATAAAGAGAACAGGAAAAAGTGTATGAAAGAAAGGCAAAATTACTTTTTCCACTTCTTTTCCTTTCTCTAATCACACTCTGGACATGCTCCTCTGATGGAGACTGCAAAAGGGTTTAGCATGGATAAACAGAGAAGTTCTCAGGAGAAGCCAAATAAAAAACATAGGTTTTGACTATGGATACAATGAAAGAACTAGAACCTCGGGGTATAGACACACTGTGCAAATTGTGCCGTGGTGGTTTCTATACAAATGAGTGGGATGAGTACTGAAAGATGGGCAGCAGAAAGTGGTGATGGAAGCGGCCTCCAGAGGGGAAGCTAAACTGCATTCAGGAATGGTGGTGTGTTCTTTTTCTTGCAAAAAATTATATATATATATGTATCTATATGGGCTAGCTGGTATGTGTCTGTAGCTACAGAGGAGGGTTCAGAGGTTTGATCCCCAGCATTTAGGCTTCATTCTCAGAAGATTTGTTCTGTTTGGTTCTCTTTAGGTTCTTATTCCTGTCTCATGCCAAGTACATTCTCCTCTCCCCCCCACCCTTCTGGCAATGACCTACATTGCTGAGAAGAAAGATGTAAACTATTAATGTCATTTTTTTTCCCATATGTTTCTATACGTAGTAATATCTGTGTGATCATAACTCAAGCATGGAATCACTAAAAAGAAAAGAAATACCTATGTTCTGTAACGTCCCTTGAGCCGGACTGACCTAATTTCCTTGCATAGTTCACCTGTTTGCCTTCCTTCCTTCCTGCCCTGGGACCTTCCATAACGTAATGCTGCAGAGACAAGCTGCCTGCTGAGCGCCGGCTCTCCATTGTGTGCTGGAGGCATGGTTGTGCAGCATCTCTATATTTTTCCTGTGCTGTTCGTGTGTATCCATCACTGCTTCTCAGTCAGCCTCTGGGCTTACTTCTCCTTTCTAGTCTATACAGCACTGTCTCTAACAAATATCCTTCATATGGTAGGTCCTTCCAAACAACTGGTGTTTATTCTTTATTGCCGTATTAACAACTACACCCCAAAAGCTAGGACTCCCACATCTTTGGTGCTCGTGACAGGCAAGGTGATGTGAGATTCCCCACCCAAAAAAAACATTCCTCATAGCAGCCAAGGGACTGGGGATGCCATCATTGCCACTACCAGTAATTGTGGTATGCACCGGGCTAAGTTTACAGGAATTGTTGTGAAGCTTAACAGATACACAAAGGTGGCTGTGGTTCCTGCGTGGCCACAGCCTCCTATAATATCCACAGAAGCCTTTTGCAGAAAACTGTTGCTCGTATTTCTAGCTACGCTGAGGTGCAGTGTGAATGGTGTACCAGTTCTACTGAAAGGTTATTTACTTTACTTTGCTTTGCAATCTCATATGTGCTGTATCCACTATAGCACCATCACCAGTAAGCTTTTTTGGGAGTGTGAACCTCTTCTTATTAAGGTGAAGAGTTTGGATTTTTGGGGATTTTTGTCACAGTCTTGGTATTTCCAAGGAGTACTAGAAGATGATGCTTCTGAAAACCTTGGATTATGTTTCCCCCAGTCTGGGATGTAATTGATGTTTTTATCAAAATTAGACATGATACTGCAGTGAAGGATTCTGACGCATAAATTTCTCCTTCCCCTTGACCTGAGTTCCCCAATCTAATACCATATGTTCTGTATGAGGTATGTAGTTTTCTCAGCTATGTTTTTTGAATGTTCTTTGAAAATAAAGAATTTTGTTTTGGCTGTCCTTTGAGTGTTAGTTGGGGATATGCAAAAAAGGATCTGTTTGGATCCTCTGTTTTAGGTTGCCTACCTTCATGTTTTTTGTTCTTGTTTTTGTTTTTTTAATATCTCTTATCTTCTGCCCTGATGCTGGAAGTGAAATTATAAATAGCTTTTGCATGGGTCATATTCCAACACTTGTTAGCTTCTGTTTATGACCCTCAAAGGCAGTTACATTCCTTAAAATTTCCTTTCCTTAAAAGTTAAATTCCTTTTGGTCTTCAGTACATAATTCTGCCTGTCTGCTATCTTTACTAATGTCTAATCCTTAAATCTCCACATCAGAAAAACTCCCACTGTGGTTTTATGGGAGATTTTCTTGCATTAAGACTACTCAATTAAGCAGCAAACACATGATGCCCCTCCCCATTGTAACAAGACTCACAAAGGAAGGAGCTCACTTGGATCGTCACATCTTTCTTGGCTTCTGTGTATAGAGCAGTTTTGAATTTGTAATGGTTTAGTATTAGAGTTTAGAGATGATGATTTCTGGTTTTTAGTACAAACTTAATGATAAAATATTGTTGACTATGAAAGGACTGTTTTGCTAGAATCAGCCTGTCCAGAGAACAGCTGGCTATAGCTGTAAAAAAATATCCAGTCTTGTGCTGAAAATAACTTGTACAGTGAGAACCCTTGCATAATTTGCTAAAAATATGTTCAGTGGAAAAGCTAGCTGAAGGTTTTAAAATTCAACAACTTTACTATGAGCAATTTAAGATGTGAGTTTACGACAGTCCAGACTTAGTAGCACTAGTGTGAAGTTGGCCCGCAGATCCTAGTGTCTTGCAAATAAGTTGACAGAGAAACAGAATGGATTCCAGCCCACTGCAATCCAGAGGTGAAAATAACAGTCTTTTAACAGAACATTTTCACAGTTTTCAAAGACTTCACTGTGGACCCTATACAACAGCAGGTACTTTTTTCACTACCCTTAAGGGTATGGGCAATATTTATCATAAAAGCAAAACGCCAAGCTTTTAAAAAGACTTTGTAACAAAATTCAGCAGCTGTTTAGCTTGCCAGAAATATTTTCATTGTTTTTTTCAAAATCTTTAATGAAAGCAAAGTGTTTCTTTTAAAACACCTTCCCTATTACAGATCACTGCTCTTCCAATTTCTTGTTCTGCCTCTTGGATGTTACTGTGGAGGCCTGGACCTCTTGTTTGAACACAAGCTCCTCCTGCCAGAGGGTGTCGATTGTGGGCACACTGTCTCTCTGCATTTTAGTAACTCTTCTGAAGTTTTAGAGTGTTTATCTTACACAGCTGAAAGCCTCCTCCTGTTTCATGAGCTCTGCACTGGAATGCAGTGGAAGAGACCCAGGGCCTGTGGCCACCCAGATTAGAGGTTTTTGTAATAAGGTCCCTATATGGTTTTGTTAGAGATTTCAGCTCTGTCTCTCTCTGTGTCTGCTCCTTGTTTGGGAGGCTAGTGGGAGGAGAAGAGCTGAAGGGCCTATATAACCTCAGAGCTTTCAGATAGAATGCATCATCCCAGAGCAGCTATCCCCAGCCAAACACTGTCAGGGTAAGTGGCACTGAACCAATCGCGTGATTTACAGATTGCTGGAGGTCTACAATTAAATAACGTCAAATGGAAGCTATTCAGGAGGATGTACTGCTGTGCTATAGTTTGCTTAAGCAAACTTACTTATTAGAATTGAATTGATAAAATGGTTGTAGTATCTATACTGAGTTGTCTTTATTTTATAGCACTTCTGAAAGGAGAAGAAAAGTTCTACCTGATGATTTTGCTCATTCTACTGGCACTCCAGCAATTGTATAAAGACACAGTCTGTGTAATGCCACAGCTGGAATTACAGCTATTTATGTGTGGGTTTAAATGAACCTGTGTGACCTTGAGGTGTTAGTTTGGACAGAACAGAGTTCCTGAAGGTGTATGTAGTAGCATTTCTCATCAGGTTTGCTTCAGTGCTGTTAGCTTAATGTAAGGTGATATGAGTGTTTTGGGGAATGTGTCTGTAAGAAGAGCTGGCACTGTACAAATCAGCAGTGTCTAATATGATACAATGAGGATGCATGTGTATTCATCCTTGTCTCTATGTATATGAAACTACTGTTCTGTAAAATGCCAAACATTTCATTATGGAACAGGCTACACACAGTATTTCTTGTGGGGCTGGAGTTCTCTTAATAGCTTTTTGTGGTGATTGGTGAGGTGATTGGTTATTTTTAGATGTAAAGCATATAGAAGAAAGAGGCTAAGCAGTATATTAAATACTTGGGAGAAAAATTTCCTTTCTCCCACAGTACAGAGTGACATTTGCTGCTGTAAGACCTTGCTACTGCATGCCATGGCAGTCCCAAGCTGTAACTCACTGGCTGGCAACAGAGCTCCCTGTCTGAAATCATTCAGCTTGGATTTTTCAACTTTTTGTGCTCTATTACTAAATATGGTTTTCATTTAGAGTCCACTAAGCTCAGAAATGTAGCCTTTCCTGCCCCCTTCTTTCCCCTCCCCCAAGTGATTTTTGGCATTTCATTAGCTGCATGGGTTTGAGCAAACCCCCTGACCTCAAACTCTGTTCCAAAAACAGACAGTTGAAAAGCCTATTTCCTAATTAGGAAATGGTTTGTCCAAACCAGTCTGTTCATTCATGTTAGATAACAATTGCACTCCATTCAGTAAATGTCTGAATACATAGAGCCTGTTTTCCTGGGAATTTAATAAATGCAAAAATTGCAACCTACTTTCCTTTCCCAATAATAATGATAAAATATCTGGAGTGCATCAAGTTAGGATTTCCCTATCCTTGTCTTGTTCTGGGAGCTATGCCCACACAGCCTGCAGGAGTGGGGCTGCAGCCATGTCTCTTGTTGCCTGGCTGGGGAGAGACAAATGAGGATCTCAAGTGAAGGATCTAGAACTGTTTGCGCTTGTTCCATCCACTGTAGAGGCTAAATAGATTGTGAGCTCCCTTGCTCATCAGCCATGGCTCATGCTGACCCCATTCCCAGTTTGTCCTGCACTTCCAGTATTCCCGTGGCAGAAGGTTTTGGAGACTGCACGTGGAGCCAGCTGGTCTGTGGATGACAGCTGTCTCCTTTAGCTGTTAACGCATTGCAATTTGTTGAACTCTGCATGGAAGCCTGGGCTCAGAGCTAGCCAAGTGATTCCCTACCATGATATAAGTTGTGAGTAAATAGTTCTTCTTGAGTCCTGGTATTCAGTGCTTGTTTCCGTAATTGACTTTAATACAAAGCCTTCAAAGCATTTTTATTATCCATATTATCTTCCTCTTCACCAGAGGAGGAAAACAGTTTCTTTTTACTGAGACAAGGAGCCGACATAAATTACTCTGCCACTCTACAAATGCAGTTTATTAGCTGCTTTGAAATGATGATAGAACATATTCTATGGCCTGTTTTTAAAACACATACTGTCCCTGACTTAAGAGCGGGTTATTTTTTCTATGTGACTAGGGGAGGGCTGGAAGAGGCTTTTTTTTTTTGCTTTTTTTTTTTTCCCCTTTTTATTTGGGAACATTTATTCTCTTTTAAAGTTAAATGTAAACTTAATTGACCTCCTTCACTCAGTGGGTTAAAAACTGCATCAGGAAAACACCCCTGGTACATGCATAACATTTGATGTGGTTAGTTTTTGGGAAGCCCAAGACCGAATGGGGAAGACTGAAGTACTCTTACCTTTGACAGCTTTCCACATGTGTCAGGATTTTGTCAGGGTGATAGAAAAGTGGGGGAAGTTGTTCTGAATCCAAAGCAAAGGGATCTTTGTTTTTGCAGCTGTCAGTCCAGCGTTCTCTTTTATCTCCCACCCACCCCACCCATGGATTTCTATGACCAAATTTAGATAAACATTTGCTGCTCCCTGATCTCTCTGCCCATGCAGTAGGACTGGAAGCTTCCTCTGCAATCCCCTGGACAATCTCTAGTGCATACATCCCTCCGGCAGATGTGGTTGAAACCTCCTGCACATTCAAAAGGAAGACGGTTCCTTCATATGTCTTGCAGGTCTTGTGACTGCCAAACTGGTGCCATACCTCTCTTTGCTGGTGCTGTTTGCTTTCATACAGCTGTCTCTGTCTTCAAGAGTGGGTCTGCTACCTATGTTTTTGTTTTTTTGTTTTTTTGTTTTTTTTAAATTCTTTCCTGCTGTTTTCATAGGGCCATTTGCTGTCTGGAGGGCCTGAGGACATTGACATAGAAGATGTGTGAGGAAGAAGACAGCACTGCCCTTGTTTGTGACAATGGGTCAGGGCTCTGTAAAGCTGGCTTCGCTGGGGATGATGCTCCAAGAGCAGTTTTCCCCTCCATTGTGGGTCGTCCCAGGCACCAGGTGATGAACTGCTTTGGTTATTCCATACTGGGTTTGTAGAAGTCTTTGCTGCCCTGTCTCCAGATCTCCACCCCAGGCCACCTTTTCCTGTGTTTGGGGCTAGCCCAGCCCTGGATGATCTCTGTAACACAGTATTTCCAGGCAAAATGAGTTCAACAGTACACTCATCTGAGTCAAAGCAGGTCTCTTGCCTTGTGAGAGGAATCCTTCTGAAATTTTTCACTCTATCTCCTCCTTTCCCTGACACTTAATTTTGGATCACCCGGAGAACTCAGTGAGTAAAGCTAGTTTAAAAAAACAGAACAAAAAAGCCCAACACAGAAGTATCTGGAAATTTTGACACCCCTAAAAGCTGATGATAGCTGATGTGTGGAAAACTAAAGGAAGATGTTTTCTGTCAGCTTCCTATTAATCTTCCTGACATTATTCATTTAGCTGTATCATAAATGGGCACCTGTCTAGGGTTGAGTTTCTTTAGCTTCAGGATTTACATTTGAGTATATGATGCATTCTCCTTGATTTTAATAGTTTTAAAATTACATTTATTATCTAAGCTGTTAAATATAGAGAATTTTTCAGCATGAACTAAAGCAGCTTGACTAGGCCACAACAAACTAATCCACCTAATTAGCAGATCCATCTAATTGCTTCTCTGGCATCTGAGGCCCTGGTGAAGTGGAAAGAGGTAAACTGATTGTAAAATGTGGCACTTTATATATCCAGCAAATGCATTTTAAGTTCTTCAGGGCTGGAGAAATGTCTGCCTTTCAGTGTAGCAGCTAGGGGGTGGAGGTCTAATTGAGGCCTCTGGGCATTACCATAGGTAAAAAAAATATATTCAAATGCCAGCTTCTGTAGATAATGTGAATGGCATTAGTTGCTCAAAAACAAGCCATAGTCACAATGGAAACAAATACAGATTTGTAGAACCTTTCTTTCCTGGTCACATATCGCATATACTATTAGTCTCCTGAAGGAAGGATCATCCCATCAAAAATTGCAAATCCAGGTTCCCTGTTTTTAAGACAGAGAGTTAGAGAAGCCAAGGTTTGGAGTCTGTAATGACTAAGTTCTGATGAGAGTATCATGGACTCAAAGCATCCTATTATATGCTATTTTTTTTCCAATATTTATGACTTTAATATAGAGACTAGTGTATCTCCAGCATAGTTTCCAGCTTCTGGCCCATGGACCATTTCTACAGAATCCATGAAAATACCTAAAAAGAAGCCTGTACCAATAGATTTAAATTGTCTATCTCTAATGACAATATTATAGTGTTTAAAAAGATTTTTAAATGTTGAAATTTAAGTTTAGGGAAATGTAAAGTGTGTATTGCTCTATCTTGACCCTTAGATGGTAAAACATCACTTTCTGCTTTTACTTCACTTTATTATAGTTTAGCACAGTTCATCTCCGAATAATAAGGAATATTAAAACAACCCTATTTTTTGACTTCATCTTGATGCATTGTACTTGTTCTGTTAACTTAAGCTGTAAGTGGAAACATGAACTCCAGAGATTTAAATGAACTGAACATTTCATTTGGCAATTAAAGAGCAACAAGTAATTCTCCATTCCTTAGTATTCGTAAAGTATTTTCTAACTAGTATAACTGACAACTGGATTTATTTCACAGCTAATGTTCCATCTACTTTGTGATACTTCTTTCTGAGAGACTAACTCCATTTGTGTTATTTTATAGGGTGTGATGGTTGGTATGGGTCAAAAAGACAGCTACGTAGGTGATGAGGCTCAAAGCAAGAGAGGAATCCTGACCTTGAAATACCCCATAGAACATGGCATCATTACAAACTGGGATGACATGGAGAAGGTATTTCAGCTTTGAAAAGTTGATGTGTATTACTGGTAAACAGAACTACTTGAACTAAATTTTACAGAATACCCACTAAATTCTAGATGAAAGTGTCATGCTAACAAGCATGGTTTAATGAGAATCTTGTTAACAGCAAAGGTTAACTTGCATCTAAGGCTGAAGTATCACTAGGAGTACATAAAAATAATTATTGGGAGTTCTTTTACTCTGGTCTGATCTCTAAATCTTTGCTAATTACTGGAGTTAAAAAAAAAAAAAAAAAAAAAAAAAGGAAGAAAAGTAATATCCTCAACTTACTAGCAAGGAAATGGAGTTTAAGAAGGCATTTGTTTCTACAAAAATTCAAAGCATGTATGTAATTCTGATGTGAAGGGCACTATTTACACATGTACTTTTTAATGCGTGAAAGATTAGCAATATTGCAGTGCAGTGCATCTATTTAAGAGCCAGTATTTAGATGAAGGGTTTCCAGAACCAAGCTTATAGTCCTAGTCTGTATAGTTGATATAATTTCTAAGATGGTATCTCTATTTAATGTTGTGCTGTGGAAATAGGGCTATTTAGAACAGCCGGAACATCACAACACAATGCAAGTGTGTGGAGTCACACAGGACTTACTGACTCTCATAGCACTGTAGGTTTTACTTGGAAGCAAAACCTTTCAGACACCTAACGTATCAAACAGTCCCCAATCTTAGAAGAAACTTCTTGGCCTTTAGAAAATCTCTGTTGGTTTTCTTCTTATTGGTGTATTAACCTCCTCATTGTGGTCTACTTGGCCTCAGATTTTTATAGCTAGTAGGACCGAGTCATCTGGAGGTGATAAACACAAGTTGACTTTCAGCCTCACAAGCCATTTGCCTTCATTTCTTTTTATGAATTCTTGGGCTGGCCTCTACCACCTAAAAGGTGAAACTGTCTTCAAGAGACCCATTATCTACTGAACTCTACTATTTAGGTCTGTATGTGTTCCAGAGTTGTTCTGGAACTGTTTCACTTTCAATCACAATTGAAAAGCATTGCTGGAACCAAGTCTGTCCTGCTCTATCTCTTCTACTGTAAGAATAATATATTTATTTTCATTAGCTTATGTGTCATTAAAATAAGTCATATATTACTGGTAGTTAAATATGAGGATAGTGCTTTTCTTTCTATAGTTACTTAGGTAATGTCTATGAAGGCAATAAGAACAACTGCATGAAAAACATTACTAGCCTATCTCTAGGACTGTAAGCAGAGTGCTGGAGCACAATACCTGTCTGGAAGTGATTCTGAGCTGCTGGCTGATTGTGTTTCTTTCCTTTGGCTTCTCCCATTGTCCTCAGATCTGGCATCACTCTTTCTATAATGAGCTCCGTGTGGCACCTGAAGAACATCCAACTCTGCTGACTGAAGCACCACTGAATCCCAAAGCCAACCGAGAGAAAATGACCCAGGTGAGTTCACACTAAAGGCATGGAATAATTCCAACTTTGTGAATTCAACAGTATGTGAACTTCATTATTTCAGTTATTCATGCTGTCAAGTAGTCTCTCTCTCTTAGTTATGGAAGATGGAAAGAGCTTAGTTACCACCTGTCATACTTGCATATTATTACATTTACTTTAGAAAACCAGTGTATCTGCTTTCGATGTGAGCACTTCAATCTCTCCAAGCTTTATGTCATCTTAATCTGTTTTTAATATATGCATGTGTCTATATTCATACATTAAAGATATAGACCAGACAAAGGGAGATGTCTTATAGGACAAATATTTTTGGATTTAGATTTTGCGTTTTCCTTCCTTGTTATTACCCATCATCAAGAAATATGAAAATCTTGTCTCTTCCCTCTCTTTCAGTAAATTGCTTCAATTAAGCTAAAACCACTAGTGCTAAGGCAATTATTTTAATTGCATTTCAGATTATGTTTGAGACTTTCAATGTGCCAGCCATGTATGTAGCTATTCAAGCCGTTCTGTCCCTCTATGCTTCTGGACGTACCACAGGTAGGCTTCTGAGGAACAGGACATAAATGTTTGAAACAGTTAAGTGTGTTGATGAGCACCTGGGAATAAATTGTGTGTTATCTTCTCAAAGGGATTGTGCTTGACTCTGGGGATGGTGTCACCCACAATGTGCCAATTTATGAAGGCTACGCCCTGCCACACGCCATCATGCGTCTGGACCTGGCTGGCCGTGACCTGACAGACTACCTCATGAAAATCCTGACGGAACGTGGCTACTCCTTTGTGACCACTGGTAAAGACACACTACTGACTGAGTAGGAGAGTTGTTTAATATGTAATGTTCCTAGTGGCCTTAGAAGGACTAGCAGTAGTTCTGCAGATGAATAGACAGAAGAAGGAATCCAGCAGGGAAGTCCCCTGCAAGACTAGCAGAGGACTTGTTTAAAGAATGGGGAGGGTGTTGGAGGGTGAAAGGGAACAACCTGTCAACACGTCTGGGTCCTTCCTGAGTGCCATTCTAAAGACTGAATCCTCTTGACAGCGGAGCGTGAAATTGTCCGTGACATCAAGGAGAAGCTGTGTTACGTGGCCCTGGACTTTGAAAATGAGATGGCCACTGCTGCCTCTTCCTCCTCTCTGGAAAAAAGCTATGAGCTTCCTGATGGTCAGGTGATCACTATTGGAAATGAACGATTCCGCTGCCCAGAGACCCTCTTCCAGCCGTCTTTCATTGGTGGGTTGAATGATTGTTCAGCCTTGGTAAACTGCACATAAATATCAAGCCCCTGTTTTCTTTTAGTTGTGTCTCATTGCTAACCCACTCAGACCTATACACAAGTATGTCCTAGCACCCATTATAAAATAATCTTTTAGGACAGCACTATTAATGTGGTGGGAGGAACTTCATGTCAAACAGTAAGACAAAATGCTTCCCTGAAATAAACCCTGAATGTTTATTCCCGGCTTCTGGCACTAGGCAGATGCCATTTTCTATGTTATGCAGTTGGCTACTACAAGAAGCATGGCCACAAAGTCACTTTTGTAAATAATGGGAGGATTGTAGTTTGAATGTGCTTGCATGGAAGTGGGGGGAGAAGAAGGGCAGGATGCACTACTTCTTATTTTTTAAAAAGACTGCTCCAAATTCTGAATCCGTGGTTCATCACGTTTGCAGAGTAAAGCCAAGACAATGCCATGCTAATCAACAGCCATGAAGGTAGGCTTGCAATGAGGTCACACAGAAATCCAGTGTTGGTTCTGCTAATCGGCAAAATTTCAGCTCAGAAGATAAAGTAGTTGCATACTTAAAAGTATTAGGACATATTTTGACTGTTCTTTCTCTGAGCTGGCTTAGTTAAAAAGAAAAAAAAAAAAAAAAAAAAGAAAACAAATTATTCTAATACCATATAAGGAATTTTTAGGACATTTGAGATGGCCTGCAAAAGCCTAGTGGAAACTTTACTATTCCACACCCCCAGCTTTCATTTTAAGGAGGAGTTGTGTGCATAAGGGGGAGAGGAGGGCTGTACACTAAGAAACTAAGCAAATAATCTAGACAGCTGAAGAAAATTGTCTCTGTATGGAGTTGCTTCCTCAGTGTTCTTCTGTACCTTCCCCAGGCATGGAGTCTGCTGGCATTCATGAAACCACTTACAACAGCATCATGAAGTGTGACATAGACATCAGAAAGGATCTTTACGCCAACAATGTGCTGTCTGGAGGCACTACAATGTACCCGGGTATTGCAGACAGGATGCAGAAGGAAATAACTGCCCTGGCTCCCAGCACTATGAAGATCAAGGTATGGTGCAATCATTTGTAAACTATTAGATTTAGCAGGTACAAAGTCCTCAAGAATCTAGTGAAACATAGCAACACTTTACAAAGTAAGTGCTGTGTACATACTTTGAATCATGTCTGTACCTTCTAGTAAATAATCACCACCTGGTAACTTTGCTGCTGGAAGAAAAGTGCCTTCTCCCATTTCCTTGTTCATGGTGAATTCCACGAACTGCCCTGACATGGCCAAATAATGGTGTGGAGCCAGCAGCGTAAATTTTCCTCTGGGGCTATATGTGACCTTCTTCAGCCCTTTGTGGCTGATGGAGATGGGATAGAGCAAATGCTGGTTTTGTCCTTGGCCTACAGATAAGACAGAGCCTCCGATAAGCCAGTCGTCCTTCTACTGCTTCAAATCTTCTGTTCCTTGCTTTACAAACATTTTATCAACCATACCAGTAGGAGTGCTCCATAGGTCACTTGTTTTTCGAAGCCCTCCTAGGTTATCATTATATGTTTCCAGAGCATTTATCTCCCCTTTTGTCATATGCGGTCATGAATACACAAATACACTACTTTTGCTGGGCAGACTGACTCAGGGAGAGAAATTGAAGATGTGGACTCAGACTTAAATAACTTTTCAAGTTTACAGCTTGCAGCAATGGCTAACTGTAATGCCAGGGATGACACTAGCACATAAATACAGTGGTTTTGTTAACATGAAATATCACTGCTTTAATATTTTTATATTAAAAATGTATTCTATTTGCAGTGGACGGTTGTACTTAATGCTTTTATGTCTTAAACAGATCATTGCTCCTCCTGAACGTAAGTACTCCGTCTGGATTGGAGGCTCTATTCTTGCCTCCCTGTCTACTTTCCAGCAGATGTGGATCAGCAAACAGGAATATGATGAAGCTGGCCCATCTATTGTTCACCGCAAATGCTTTTAAATTGCTTTATATGTCTCCTTAGTGTATTACTGTGAATGTATTCCAGAAAATACATTCTTATAATTTCATTCCATAAATCCTTCATCATAATTACTCTAACTAATTGGATACTGTGTATTTTTTTTTTTTTTAATAAGTTTTAAATATGCTATGAACTTGCTGCTCCCATGTGAAAAAAAACAAACATGCGTTTGTGGAGGTACCATTACAGCTGGTTTGAAGCTCCATCTTGTGACATGAATTTGTTACTACACTATACTGATCTTAAAGTGGTACCTTTTGCTCCATGATACCAATGCTAGAAAACGCTCACCTATCAGGCTGCACGTTGTCAAAGTTCAGCCTCAGAAAACATTTTAGTTTGCAAACAGAACCACTCTTGATTTTTCCAGAGTTTTGGGAAATGCCAAAGGAGCATAGCATCTGTTTGATATCAAGATGAGCATGTGCACTTTGCTTTGCATCTGCTCTATCCAGAAATATTATCTATCCACATCACTTCTTAATTCACAGCTGTCATGCTGGAAAAGCTAATTTCTTACAGTGTGTGGCCCAGAGGTGTCCGATTTATACTACACAATTCTGTGTGTTTTCTTTAAAGAAACCAAGTCTGTTCCTTTGGGAGCATATCTAAACACTAATAAATTGAACACATGACTTTCCTATAATATGGCCTCAGGAAGAGTGCAGCCTGTTATTTTATGTTGTGATTTCTGGCAGGGTCTAAAGGGTAATTAAGCTGGCTTAATACACTTTCTCTTCAGAACTTGTTTTGTTTTTGTTTTTTTTTTTTTTTTTTTTTTTTGTGGGGGGGGAGAGGGGGTTAACAAAGTAGATAAAATAATTTAGACAATTTCTTTTTCTGTGATTTTTCTGATTCCATTTATAGTGTTAAATAAATCAAAACTGATATTCAGCTAGAAGTATAGCACAGAAGCTGAAGACAGTAATACTGTCTTACAACTCTATCTATGAATAAAGAATTCACTGCGACAGACCTGGAAAAGGTCACTTCTAAGGAACTTGCTGCAATCTGTATTCATTAGAGATCAGGATAAAGGATGCTATTTATTTTTGTTACCTATTTTCCTGTCTAAACTCAATAGTTTACCTCACTTGCCTGTTACATGTTACCTTTCAAACTAAGCTTTTTGCAACAGCACCTGTTATTTAGCATGTCTGTGTAACCCCTGGGTTTCAGATCTTGTCCAGCTTCTGACTGTTAGCACACATTCTAAACGTTTTTGTACTAACCTTATTATTTAAAGTGTAGATCATCTACGTTCTTGGAACAGATACTAAATAAACTCTTGTAAGAGCAAATAACTTTTGTATGGTTCTTCTAACTCTATCTAGATCTTTTTATCTAATTCTGGATAGATCCAGGGAATCTCTTTCAGGATAAGAACTTGATTTCAAATAAAAGTTTATACTGGAGGGTTGCTGGAGAAGACACATTTCTCCAAGGGACTCTGATGCATCTCTGCTATTCCAAGATGTGATGAGGGTCAGCTCTCAGGTAAAGGACTTGTGTTTTTCTAAGTGTTTTCTGCTTAATAACTTATCCAAAACTTGAGCTATACAATGATGAAATGGGGAAAAGGATTTAAAAAAAAATCACCCAAGCTGATGTATTTGCCTCTACTACATATCATGTACATACTACATATCATGTACATCTCTTCACTGCTTCAGTGAATTCACATAGCTGTGAGTCATAAAAAGCCAACCACTGTTAAAAATTTGTAATTCTCTGAAAAACAACAAGTCAGAAAAGAAACATTACTTATTTCAACAGTTAGTGTTGTTTGAAGTTCATTTTATTGTTGTTTTGTAGGTGAGATTTGTTTACAGATTCAGAGGTGATGCCACTGAACTCCATCTTGACAGAGCAACAAAATAACTCCAAAACAGGCTAGAGCAATAAATATCAAACAATTCAATCTAAAATGTATAAATATAAAAGTCATTTCTGAAAATGTAAGAAAAACAGGAATCCATTTTTCTGTTTTGGCCATTTGTAGAGTAACATCACTATTGTCCATCCATATCACCTCAGATCCAGCACAGTTATCTTTATGTCTTTCCCGACCACGTGGGTACATGGCTGCAGAAGAAGTCAACCCATTACTCACAGAAATTGGTTTCAGTAAAATAGCATATGAGGGCTATTGTTTCCTTTCAACTTTCTGAGCCTACTTAATATTATGCCTATCTATCTAACATTGATTATATCTGTCACTGTGCCTGTTCACAGGCAATCCTGACTGTCGCAGGTATAGACTGCTGAATAAAGCAAGGACTACACCATCCAATCAGAAACAAATTTCTAAAGACAATATTGTTTAGTGCTTATCCTGTGAAATAGATTACAGTTCTGTGCTGTCCTTTATGTATCACAGCATGGGATACCTGAAATGGAGAAGGAAGGTGTGTTTTACATTAGAACAGGCGCATGGGGTACAGCATCAAGGAAAGCAGGAACTGTGTTCTCTTCCTGCAGTGGTTTCAGATATGTCTGCACACATGATGGATTTTTTTTTAAGCATTTACGACTAAATTGTATCTTTAGACACAGTCATGACTAACAGCTTGTATTAGGTCTGTGGAGAAGTTTTTACCATAAACCAGATACAGATTAGGATTTAGTCAGGTTTCAAGAAGCTTCCTATATTCTCACCCCTGATATATTTCCTCCAGGAAACAAGGGTGTGATTTTACTGTTTTTGTTGGAAGATCAATGTGTTTTGGGGATTGTACTTGAAAGGATGTTTGTGTCTGATATATAATACCAGCAGTGTGTCTAATGACTCTAAATGAACTCAAGTGTCCAGGAACTTCATTGATTAACAAAGTCTGTAAAGGACCACTGAAAAGAGCCCATCTGTAACAAAAGTATTCAAATTTTTCAGAGTTGGACTACATTCTCATTATCCCTACAGTCAATGTTAAAAGAACAGAACAAAGCAAAGAACCCCAATCTCTTATTCTTTTGAGGAGTAATACTGACAGTCTGAGAGTCCTACAACAAAGAAGTAATTTCCAATGTATTTAGCATTACTTCTCTGCATTTGATCATTTTATTTTGAGCTATAGGAGTTGTTCTGTATTTGAAGTGAGCCCCATTAAAAAAAAAAAAATCTTAATTATTCAGAGGTAGGCATTGTTGTCTTCCAGATAAGTGACATTTCTGATTATTCTGACTGACTATAACGTTCAGCCATATATATAGTATACTATGCTATTAAAACATGAAGAGATATGGTAGTTACTGAGAAAAGTTTATGAGGAACCTGGGGAAAATTACGGGTAATGAAGAAAGTGGGACTTAATCTACTCGTAGCTGCACTTTTTAGCAGCTGGGATGTTCTGTTGGGACAGCACAGTTGGGGAGAAACTGAATTCTTTGTTTAAAGAATGAAGATCTTAGGAATAACTACCATTTGAAACTCTGGCTTTTGCTTCTTCTGGAAGTAGGAAAAAGTAGTGACTGATGGTAACTGCCTCTGGTTAGCCACCATTTGAATGGCAGTGTGTAACACTCATCTCATGGCTGCTATTGACTGCTTAAGACTCCTGATGTTTATCTTAGTGAAGTAAGGGTAACAAATTATTAAAATGGGAGAAACATTAGAAAGAAATCTAATCTAAAGTACATATAATTCCTGCTAGCAGCAGAACCATGGGCAAGAATTTGAATAGTCAAAACCATGTTGGATTATATACTTACATTAAATAACCTAGGGTCCTTTGTATGTGGATGGAATCCCTTCTTTTTACACGCAGAAACTTCTAGCATGCCAGCATTAGTAAGTCTGAAGATGCCAGTGCTAGAAAGCAAAGGATGAAACTCCTGTTACATACTTCTCCCATAATACATGTCCAAGGTTTCACATACAAATTTCTTAGCCTAACAGAAGGACAACAGAATGGTACTCAGTGACCTTTGATACACAAGAGCCAAGGCTGAGTTGGGGTCTTAAAGGTATTTGAAATCAAGGGGAGTTGTATTCCTGCAAAGGAAGAGATGATGTGGAGAAGGGGAGAAAAAACCCACAGTACTGGTGCTATTCCCATTAGGCAGGTTAGCCTACCAAGGGCTGAGGCTAGTTCATACAGGAACAGATACAAACCAGAAGCTTAGTTGTTCTGGATTGCCTTTCACTCACTGAACTCTAGCAGGTAAACCTAAAAGAGAATGGCCTTTAAGCTAGCTGTGTAAATGACTAGTGAGAGCACACATCCTCCTCACTTTTTTTAGGTAATCAGGTGATACAAAGCACTAGAAAATCCACTGCTGCATATGTATGATGTAACACTTTGAGTATTGAATAAAATATTAGAAACCCCACCTTTCTGTAAAGAACATTAATACCTAATAACTACAGGACAGCACCTGATTAATGAATGCTACAGATAGGAGTAACAGGTTAGAGTTGGTTATAGGGTATCAGCAAACTATGAAAGAGGTTGGAAGGACCAGAGATTTTAAAAGTTATGCAGGTGTGCTCTGGATTACAAAGCCTAGTGCTTGTACACTTGCCATTCAATCTGTATTTGCAGTTCTGCTACTTGAATGGCCCATACAGGAAGTTAGGCAACCAGAATGGGATTTGTAGCAGTCATCTACAGTGGCAGAAGGTCAGAAAGAAAGACTGAAGAAATGCACTGTTTAAACAATGTAGTTAGCTGTGGGGCCTTGAAACGCCAAGCACACCAAAGCAGAATCACAAAATTGTTGAGGTTGGAATGAGCCTCTGAAGATCGCCTAGTCCAATCCCCCTGTTCCAGCAGAATCACCTTGAGCAGGTTGCCCAGGATCATGTCCATTCAGGTTTTGAATATCTCCAAGGATATAGACTTCACACGCTCTCTGGGCAACCTGTTCCATTATAAACCTTCACAGTAATACTTACACAGTTCCAGATTTTTCCAGATACTTATTGTTTATATTTTATGAAATACAAAAATTGGACTTTATTATCAAAAAAGTGATCTTTTATCCCTCTAGTCCCCAAACTGCAATCCCCGTATCATCCTAGAAAAATATGTCTAACCCCCCTACTTTCTTCAACAGCCAGAATGAAGATAGGTCTGTGGTAGGGCACTGGCAATGAGGTGTCCAGAACAACAGCTCCTGTCATCACTGCTTGGTTGAGCAGAGTATAAAAATAAATAAAATTTAAAACATGGGCCTGGGAAGGGAGGAGGGTAGACTGTGTGTAGAGACTAACTGGAATGCAAGTCTAAACAACTTAAAGAAAACAAACTCACAAGACAATATTCCTGCCCTTAATCCCAGTTGACATGTGCTGTTTGCATTTGATCAAATTTAATGACAAGGAGCAGGAGAAAATATCTAAATATTACTTAAAAAAAAAAAAAATCAGAACTCACTCATTATGCTTTGGTGAACAAACAATTGCAATGGCCTCTGGTAACATTAGCTGATAAGAACAATGAGTATGAAGATCAACACTGGATAAGAATGCAGTTTGTGTTGGATGTGTCTACAAAAAGAAAGGGAAAACTCAACATCGTGAAATATTTCTTACAAATCAAGGTTGACATACATTCAAGAAGGAACAATAATTTGTAACAAGTGAAAGCATCAGTACTTCCCCAGGTTGCTTTCTTAAATTTCTGCTAACCCAGCTTCTACATTGTTAGGGTGGATTTTCAGTACAAGGTTTATGGATGCACATTCACAACCAAATGTACGAGCAATTTTCTGATCATGGGGGGGAAAAAAGTGGAATGAAGAAGCACAAGACAAAGGGAAATAACTTGATTGTCCAAAATCCCTAAGATTGAAATTAATACAAAGTTTAAACAACACAATACTCTCCCACACAAATTTTTAATACGGTAGAAAAATAAATGGTGTTAGAGAGTAGTAAAATACCCCTAAATTGACATAAACAAATTTGCACTGGCAAAAGCAGGCCCATTATGTCAACAGGATGCCTCAACTGCATTAAGAAATACTCATTTGTGAAGAACATTAGTGCTCGTTTACATCACTACAATTAAGTAAGAAAATTAATTTGGATTATTCCAGTTACTTCTTTTGTTTGTTATTTCTGTTTTGTTTTGTTTTGTTTTGGTTGTTTGTTTGTTTTTTTTTTTTTCCACACAGCCAGAATCTATGAGTCATACATACATGGATCCAACCCAAAGTAAGGAGATCATACTGATCCTGAATACCAAATAATTCTTCCACATTCTCCATGTCACAGTAGTCTGGTCCTGCAGATTGCTTTGGCACTATTACATGGGTAATAGTAAATTCATTATGTGTCTGTAAAATAAACATTGACTTA